CAATTTGATAAGCAACGATACATTTACAGTAAACTATTGTGAATTTTTTAAGATGGAACGCCTTGTAAATAAGTAATATGGAACGCCATTGGGGCCAAAATTGATTTATTCTTTAGCATTCTCACTGATTAAGACAAAGTTTAGGGACTGAAACCCAGTCTACCCATATAAGAATGATGATGTCATCTAGTTGATTGCTTAAAGAGATATTTCTACTTATGTTCCCAAAATCCATAAGTGCTGTTTTTTGAGGAGGGGCCAACTTTGACTGGTCATTGCAAAGAAAAACGACTTTTAAAAAACATGTTTTGTACAGACCTAGATAAACATGGTTTTCTCTTCACAAAACATGTTATGTATAGACAAACATGGTTTTGTCATTTACAAAACATGTTTTATAACAAATATGGTTTTGTCTTCACAAAACATTTTTTGTATCAACAAACGTGGTTTTGTCTTTCTACCAAGCATTGTTGTTATTTTACCCTCGCCCCACGAAGTGGGAAGAGGGTATTGCTCCGTCTGTCTGTCGGTGTGTTTGTCTGTCTGTGACGTTTGTATTTGCCATTCCTGGAACATTTTAGAACGTTATTTATTTATATCGGCCAGAGGCTGACTCAAGCGAATTGACCGCGGACCGCTCGAGCGTACAGACCATGTGTGAATTCTGGCCAGCGGAACAGAGGCAGCCTAGAAGGCATGTAAGCCCGACAGAGTCCGGTGGCTTATGTCATCCCGTGGGAATTTCGTGATCATTTTTTTTTTTTAATGGTATACTTTGAAGTATGCTGAATCGAATAAAATGAGTCGCCAATTTTTTTACGCTCATCTTCATATGCAAATTAGCTGAAATATGCAAATTAGGTCTGAAAATGTAGGGTACTTATATCTTGGTAACCACAACTTTCTTAAAGTTGTTCAGAACATGCATGTTTCTATTTACCTTAATGGAACATTTTCTTCAAAAATGACCGGAAGTGCCATTTTGCCGACCTTATTAGCATAAATGTGCAAATAGGGGTGGAAATATAGGGAGCTATATCATGAAAACCACTGGTCGTACAGAGTTGCTTTTTGTAGCAAAATGTTTAAAACTTGCATATTTATATTTACTATAATGGACAATTTTCTCTAGAAATGACCGGAAATTGCGTTTTTGACCTTTGACCTTAACTTTGCGTGATTGTGATATCTTGGCAACCACTGGTCGTATAGAGTTGCTTTTTTTTAACAAAATATTTACAATATGCACATTTATACTCTAACAGAATAATTTCTCAATATCAACCAGAGACCTTTGACCTATCTTTGCAGTATATAGGCCTATTATATACCTAATGATGACTTATGGTCGAAAGTATTATTACAACAATGCTATTATTACTTGAATATATATATATATAAC